GGAATGGGGCTTTGCTTCTCTGCCACCAATTATACCGCTCTCAGCAGCCCCTTACATAAGAAAAGAATGTAGAATCAATATACTGATTATATCAAATTCATGCCCATTTCTTGCTTATGACCTTATAATTATATAAAGTAAAGGAATATGCTTTATTCACTTGTCTTTCAAAAATGACCTTATCTTACCTGTGAGGGAGACTTGTAGAAAGATGCATGTGATGCAGTAGATCATGATGGCACAGAAGCAAAAGCTGAAAGGTTTGGCTTGCAAAGCCCCCCTAACTCTTTTTGCTGTCTGCCTTCCAACTGCCACAACGGAAACTTTGGTGTCAGGGTGTCAAAAACTTTGTTGCACATGCAGGACCTGATACAACAAAAAGTACAGCTTACTCAAAATGCAAGATGGGAAAATATAGTTTCTTTTTCTTCCAAATTAACATGAAATAATGCACTGCTTCAAATTACAGCATCATTTGATCATCTGTTTCCTTTCCTGCAAAATACCTGCATTTATGCAATACTTAAAATTAGTCCTTAGGTTATGTAAAAGAAAAACTTATGCTGTGTTTAAAATTAGTTACACAACAGTTGAATTTTGAATATTATTTTAAAACATTTTTTAAATTTCTAGTATAGTTTTTTTGTTTCCTGTCAAAAAACTGACCTTTATTCTAGTCTACCCACCTTTAAATACATGTAGGTAAATATAATCACATTGAAATTCCAGTTAATTACAGGGGAATTACTAAAATATTAGTTTCACTTACTAAACTACATCGCTCTGTGTTCATTCAGATTTGTCTGTAAAAGTAAAGAAATTAAGTCATACACCAATTACACAAGTGGTAAAGCCATACATTTTTTCCAAGATAAACAGAAACTAAATAATTTGACTTGTCAAAAGCACATGTCCCAACAAGCCTGAATGTCCTCATTAATATTGATATTTGTGTCATGATTAGTTTCTAAGGTTTTACGTTCTCTTCCTCGTTCACACACCTGAAAACTTCTTTGCAGGACTGCGCTGTAGAGCCAGTGTTGCATTCTTAACACGTCTTTTGGCTCCTGAGTTATAATCAAAGAGATGGAGTCAGAGTGAAAACAGTGGGCACTCTCATTATCGTGGTTTAAAGATGAGGTTACTGTCACACTGGTTTGCACCTAACAGTGAGCAACACTCAGCGACCACTTGTGGCCACAGCCTCTTTGGTACATTCTTGAAAACGAAAGTATATGTTAGCCTTTCAAAGGTAAAAACTTCAGGTTTTATGGTTTATTTTTGAAATAATCTTACAAGATGTTGATATAGAGCAGACCTTCCCAAAGTGTGGGGCCCGCCCCCTAGGGGAGGCGCAGAGCCATTGCAGGGGGGGCGTGGTGTGAAAAGGGGGAAAAAAACAAAACACTTGGACACTGCTAGCACAGGCGCCCACAGAAACGCAAAGCAGCAGATGAAGCATGGCTGAATATGTTTCCAAACCAACTTCATTCTAAGCCAAAGACTAGAAAATATAATGAAGCATGTCTGCCCTTTGGCTTCACCTGCACAAGTGCCGAGGTAGGTCTCCCCGCAGAATTGGTTTTCCCTGTGTCGAGAGCAGCGCTGGGCTCTTCAAATCACGGACAAACAGTATTCCACAGTTGTTTATGTTTTTAAACCCATTTTGCACAGAGACACATTTTTTGAAAAATGTATTGATAGCAATGTTGAATATTATTACACATGAAAAAAAAAACAACTACACCTAAAATAATTACACCGTGACGCCTCTGCCTTTGTAAATTCAGGGACAGTAGCTGTGTGTGTATATATAAGCGTGTAAAACCTGCAGATAGTCAGATTAACAGTATTTTGTCTCTATCTGCCATTCTGCAGTTCATCTCATGTAAACAGTAACGTGGCGCACAGCGTGATGTGAAAAAAGGCACATAAATTTGACGGTGAGTGATGAACTCTGTATTCCTCGTCCACACTTAAACACAAAAAAGGAGTTTTAAAAAATCTCTGTTTTAGGTGATTCGAAACGCTGTTTACATGTGGACGAAACAGCTGCGTTTCCAAAAATCCCTGTGTAGGTGCGGACGTAGTGTAAAAGAGTTAGTAGTGTATTTTATTACTACCTGTAATTTATTGCAGATTACTTGTATTTGCTTAATTGTTTACTAAATGTTTGAGGTGTGAAATAAACCGCAATGGAGCAAAATATGGGTGTGTGTGGTTGGAGGATGTGTGCGTGCGTGTGCGAGAAGGGGGCGGGGGGCGCGAACATTTTTCTTGTAAAACAAAGGGGGGCCCAGCAAAAAAAAGTTTGGGAACCACTGATATAGAGAGTAAAAAAAGGCACTTTCAGTCGGCTGTTCTGTTAAACAAGTGGATAAGTTCAGTTTTTATATGAGTTATTTCTCTGGGAGAGATGCCAGTTAACAAATACGTAGTGTAAAGAACACTAGAATTGTTGTCTTGTTAGTTGTTGGGATTCTGCTTACTAACAAGGAACAGAATTTCAGCCATTTAGTGCACTAGTAATCCAATCACTAGTAACATCAACAATCCTGATGAATGACTGATGACTGATGAATGGTCCCTCAGTCTTCAAAGTAAATCCATAAACTACATTCTCAAATTTTCAGAAATATTACAATTAAATCCACACATAAGTTGTTTAAAAGCATCATTTATTTGCCAGGAATTATGTAATTCATCATCA